TTGAATGCCCAATAGGAGAAACATTTTTAGTCATATTTAGATTCTAAAGGAATGTAGGTGTAATATTTCAAATATGAGGGGTTTATGTGATTAAGTGACAAGCATGAGAGGGTCTAAATATGCCTAAAAATGTTTATCCATTTAGTATGACACGGCAAACTCATGGTTATTAGCTTGAGGTGCGCATTGATACAAATTTCTATCTTTTAGGGCATAAATTGAGATTTTTTATCTTTGAGAGTGCAAATTTAAATGCGAACAATCTTCCGAGTTGTAATTTGAGATTAACCCTAAATTTAAATAGAATGACATGATTGAAACACACATTAAAACTTTTTGTTTCAATTGATAGTTCATGGGTCATATACAAATCAAGTGCAAACTTAAACGGTATAAAATATAATTTCTTGATTATTCTGTAGATAACCAACAAATAAAACTAAAAATGTCAACTCAATCCCGAATATTTTGATATGATTCGTTTGGCATCATTCTCTTCCTCAACATTCTGAATGGAAGTTCACATGTATGAAACTGAACTATACATAATAATATTATCACGGAGAATAAGAGAGTAAAAGGGATTCTTATAGGGCTTCGCAGCCATGCATTCTAGATGGAATCCAAGTACCTAAGAGAAATGTCACAACCCATATGTCATAAACAAAAAGGATAACTACTTTCACATTGGACAACCGAATAAAATAACATAAGTTCACTTACAAAGATTGCACTAAAAGTTCCTGAACTTAGGCTAAAGTTCTAGGTTAAAGTAACCATTACGTTATCTCTGTCGATACCTTAACGGAACTTATAATATTTACAGTTTAAGTTGTAGTTTTTTGAGGGTATAAATTATCAATCAAAAAGTTATGATCGATCATAAAAAATTATGATTAATTACATAAATTATAACTTTTAAAAATTAAGTTATAACTGATAGAAATTATTCACATTTGTAATCGCTCATAATGTTGTGATTGATCATAAAGAGTTGTAAGTTATCATTTGTGAAGTGTAAACTTTTTGGTATGGTAGTGGTGGTTTCCATTGGGTAAAGTTTAAATCTAAATGCGTATAACCCGAAACTAAAAGCAAATAAAGAGCAGCAACAGGTTAGGTGGGGAGGTACACAGAATATGGAGAGAACAATATTATGTTGAAGCTTAAACTTGGGCACTTTGCACCTCAATGTCTCAATTTTCACATTCTACCTGAAAAGATTTTTTTTTTTCATATTGTACCCTGAATGTCATAAATTAGCTTCAATGCGGCTCTTATACAAACAACCGTTTCAAATTCCACTAAAAGTTGATGCACTTGTCACCCACGTGTGTTGCTGTTAGTCTGAGGATCACGTTAGAACCAATTTATGATATTCAGTGCAATGTGGAAAAAAATAAACTTTCGGGATATAAAGTTAGAATCGAAATATTTTTTAAGGTGCAAAATGCAAAAAGCCCCTTAAACTTTTGGGGTTAAAGTTTTAGTCTAATTATATATGAGCACATATTTGATAAGGAAAAGAGGAAAGATTAATATTACTGAGATTTAAAAAAATTGATTTAATAATATGACAGCGACGTAGTTCAACAATGTTGTTGTTACTGTAACTTTTAAGAGTTATGATCTCGGGATTGTCATGCCCCAAACTCAATATACGAGCCTAATGACGTGACAAATGCGCACACCCATGGAACTAAGTCCTCCGGGTATGCCAGGCTTCGACCCACAAATTAGCTCAATACTCTTTCCCCAATGCCATGTCCAACAATTCTCTGATCATATAATTAATAGAGCAAAAAACAAAAACAATTAATCTCAATTGCACATTTCTAGAAATAAAATCCAACATACCAAATCTCCATCTAGATCCCAACATAAATATATAAAGTACTAAACGGTCTTCCTAAGATAATGTTAGTAAAATAAAGTCTTCAAATCCTGCTCACGTCCATTTCCCAATGAGTAATACTAGATAGACTTAAAAATTAGATTTGATAATCACAACCATTAAATAGGTAGTGAGTTCTAATAAATGCTGGGACACACATTAAAATTAATGGTTATAATTATCAAGTCTAGTTTTTAAGTCCACGTAGCATTACTCTTTCCCAATTACCATCGGTTTCGATTCCCAAAATCTAAAAAAAATGGAATAGGTTTGGGTGAGCCCAATAACTAATAAGTAATAGTCTATCTCTACTAGTTTGACTAAGCATGCACTTCAAACATGTATTCAAAACCTTCACAAATAATACAAGAATAAATTTTCAAACATCTTACAAATTCAGTGGTTTAATAGTAAATAATATCATAACAATTCCACAATTAAATCGACACTCAACATTCTTTAATGGCAATGGCCACATTCATCCATGACCAAATTCTTAATGCCACATGTATATCCAGCAGTGGCCGTTGGGTCCAAACGTCACATTAACCCGTGTGAGATCAAGTTCCAAGCCAAAACTAGATCCTAACTAATGTATCTCCCTTGTTGGCTATACTGAATCCACTCGTCACATTAACCCAAGTGACATTAGGTCGGATAGTTGTTAATTTCTCCATCATGATCATGACATCCACATATTCTCATACAAAATCACCCCCTGTGATGGGTTCGATCATAGCCAGAATGAGAATCAAATCAAAACATCCTTTTACAAACGATTTCAAAATCCATTTGAAAATCATATACCATGCCATCTATAATAGAAAATTATAGTTTATCTCAAAAAGAATTATTGCATGGCATATGCCAATTAGCATGTCAAGTCCGCATTTTTCAGAAAATCATTTAATAAAACATGTTGCGACTATATTTAAAATTAGTTCACATTTTCAATCAAATTGCACCATACATTTAAACACCAAAAATACATTTAGTAAAAAACACACAAGAGGAGGTAGAAAATTACTTACAATCTTTCCAATCGAAAAAGAAAAAGAAACACAAGCCTCCCGCTACACTTCCTTTGCAAGTCCTATAATAATAATACAAATTATAACCATAATATGTCTTACCCAATTCGTGAAGCACAGTGGGTATCATGCACTAGCATCCAACTTACCTTTCTAATGTNATTACTCTTTCCCAATTACCATCGGTTTCGATTCCCAAAATCTAAAAAAAATGGAATAGGTTTGGGTGAGCCCAATAACTAATAAGTAATAGTCTATCTCTACTAGTTTGACTAAGCATGCACTTCAAACATGTATTCAAAACCTTCACAAATAATACAAGAATAAATTTTCAAACATCTTACAAATTCAGTGGTTTAATAGTAAATAATATCATAACAATTCCACAATTAAATCGACACTCAACATTCTTTAATGGCAATGGCCACATTCATCCATGACCAAATTCTTAATGCCACATGTATATCCAGCATTGGCCGTTGGGTCCAAACGTCACATTAACCCGTGTGAGATCAAGTTCCAAGCCAAAACTAGATCCTAACTAATGTATCTCCCTTGTTGGCTACTGAATCCACTCGTCACATTAACCCAAGTGACATTAGGTCGGATAGTTGTTAATTTCTCCATCATGATCATGACATCCACATATTCTCATACAAAATCACCCCCTGTGATGGGTTCGATCATAGCTAGAATGAGAATCAAATCAAAACATCCTTTTACAAACAATTTCAAAATCCATTTGAAAATCATATACCATGCCATCTATAATAGAAAATTATAGTTTATCTCAAAAAGAATTATTGCATGGCATATGCCAATTAGCATGTCAAGTCCGCATTTTTCAGAAAATCATTTAATAAAACATGTTGCGACTATATTTAAAATTAGTTCTCATTTTCAATCAAATTGCACCATACATTTAAACATCAAAAAGACATTTAGTAAAAAAACACTAGAGGAGGTAGAAAATTACTTACAATCTTTCCAATCGAAAAAGAATAAACACAAGTCTCCAGCTACACTTCCTTTGCAAGTCCTATAATAATAATACAAACTATAACCATAATATTTCTTACCCAATTCGTGAAGCACAGTGGGTATCATGCACTAGCATCCAACTTACCTTTCTAATGTACAAGTTGCTTTAATTAGAGATGACTAGGCAAACTAACCCAATAGATGTTTCCTTTCACATTAGGTTTTGTCCTTTATGAGATATAGACAAGGGCAAGAAAAGCCTGTCATTCTTTCACTTAGACTTCCAACATGCCGACCACATGAAAAAGTTAAAGATAAAATAACCTATTCCTTGGCATTGCAACCCATCCTCTCACAGTTACCATTCTATGAATATAATTATATATGCGTTTAGTAGATACTGATTCTATTAAACATGTGTACCCAATGGATAAATAGGTTTGATATTTACCTTGTGGTACACTTTTCCCTTCTGGTTCTCTCTGCCCCTTCAACGCCAAGAACTTAGCCGCCCCGCCCCTGGTTAGATGAAACTCACTTCTAATTTAATGAATATATTAAATTAAAATTTTAAATTAATTTTTCAAATTAAGTCTTAATAGCATTTTTTTTAATTCGATTAAACTGCATTAAAACTCTCAACAAATTTAATTGTTATATTGAATTCGGTCACCAGATTAGGTCCACGAAATATTTTCTAAACTTCTTTATAAGTTTTTTTAGGTTTGCCAAAAAACAAATATACTTGGTTATAATTATGATTCCCAGTGATCGCAGAGAACACCTGTCTGTATGCTACAGGTTCTTTTGCTTGCATTTCAATAGAATCAGTATCTTAGCACCAGCATCAACTCAATTTGTTCAATTTGGCAACTCCATGAAGATCTCCTCTGTCCAACACTAGTCACTTGGTGGTGGATGCCACTTCCTCTCTCTCTTTCTCTCTCTATCACACACACACACACACACACACACAAGCATATTTAACAGTTAGATTCGTAGAAATAGTGGCTAGATCCACTGTGTTTATCAACATCTATAAATTTATGGCCAACCTTTCACTTTGGTACCAAGAGTCCCATAGATCCCAGATTGGTGGAACAACATACATAGAAAGAGAATGTGGGGTACGAGCAAGAACTCTCAATCTCGTGAAAAGTTCCCATGCCTAGACTCAGATTTTTTGCCTCATCGCACCCAAGTAGCAAGCGAAACGACGCAATGGGTGGGCTGTGATCTTTGTGTAGAGGAAAACAAGATTTGTAAGTGCAATGACAAAGATGTTGAGCACCATGACCATGAAAAACCCAATGGTTCTTTCATTCATGCAGTCATCAACATGATTGGAATGCTTATAGGTATCCTTTTAATTTCTTTCCGTTGTTTGTATGTAACTCACCTTTTCAATCTCTGTCTTCTTCATATTTCATTTATGTCAAGTAGGACGATAAACGAGTCGAACTGAACTAAGCACTACACTTTTCGAGGTCGATACGTCTGAGTGTTAGAGATGCTCATTGCTCAAACTCTACTTTTGACCATGACGATCCTCAAAGAATACATTCATTTCCTATAGTTTGGCTCGCTTCAAATAGCAGCCAAGTTGAATCCGATCCCTTCTCATGTGCAATGACTAAATAAAAAAGTTAGCTGGAGTCCCTTTAATTTACGCCACTTCTTGTTTATGAGCCTAAGAGTTAAACAAGACATTGTTTGGCTCATTTTTTTTTTATTTTTAAATGCGTCATAAAATTATCCATGTGATATTTTTGTTTTTTTGATAAGAGAAAAAGAGGTAGGGCAAAGGAGAGCGCTTAGAAACTACTCCGATAAACCCTCACTAATGGGATCATGAAACCTGTAATCGCGTCCATAACACCTTTCGGGAATAAACTTAACTAAGCTAGCACCCCCACTGAACTACACCACTCGGGATTATCTGGCTTCTACTCCACGTGGTTATAGGTTCAAATTTCACCATCTATATACAGTATCCCCTTGTGTTTATGTCATAATGATGAGAAAATTTTATAAACACAATGGATCGGGTACTGTCTACGCTCAATAAAAAATTGTCACAAAACTTGTTTGTTAGATCACAAATTGGTTTTATCAAAAAAAAAATTGGCACTTTCACTAGTGGCAGCAACATGATTGTGAGTATACACCACATGACATTGTCACTGTTGAACACTGAATATTATATCTGTAACGATGCGTGCATATGAGCCCCTTATAATAAAGTAGCTTATAATTTAAATTTTAAAAGATAAAAAAAATAACTTTTGTTATTCGCGGTGGAGATCGCTTTAAATTTTACTTTAAAGTTAATCTAACGGTTAATATTAACACCCTAAATTTAATAAGAAAAATAAGTACTTAAGAATGTGTTTGAAGTGACTTTTTAAATGTACTTTTAAAAATTATTTCTCATAAATATTTTTAAAAAAAATAGTGTTTGAAACCGTCCTACTACTATCTCTACCACCACTACCACCACCCCCGTCACCACCGCCATCGCCATCACCCCNACTTAAGAATGTGTTTGAAGTGACTTTTTAAATGTACTTTTAAAAATTATTTCTCATAAATATTTTAAAAAAAAATAGTGTTTGAAACCGTCCTACTACTATCTCTACCACCACTACCACCACCCCCACCGTTGCCACCACCACCACCGCCACTGTCGACGCCACCTTCATCTCCACCACCGCCGCCGCCACCCCTCGCCACCGCCACGCCCACCACCACCACCGCTGCCNCCAAGAACTTAGCCGCCCCGCCCCTTGTTAGATGAAACTTACTTCTAATTTAATGAATATATTAAATTAAAATTTTAAATTAATTTTTCAAATTAAGTCTTAATAACATTTTTTTTAATTCGATTAAACTGCATTAAAACTCTCAACAAATTTAATTGTTATATTGAATTCGATCACCAGATTAGGTCCACGAAATATTTTATAAACTTCTTTATAAGTTTTTTTAGGTTTGCCAAAAAAAAAATATACTTGGTTATAATTATGATTCCCAGTGATCGCAGAGAACACCTGTCTGTATNAGTCATTACCACCCACCACAACCATCACCATCTTCTATTATCATCACTGTCGTCCACCACCTCTCACCCCCACTACAAATCGATACTTAAATTCCTTTATTTTTTCTCTATATTTGTTATTTGATTTTGAATATGAATACAAATATGTTTATTGATTACCATTTTTTATTACTCTGTGTCNTATGAACAGGAAATTAAATTCCAAAATTTATTTAATTTTTTTTCTGGTGAATCATGATGTGATACATAAGGTGGGGTTATTTACCTTTTATGACATTTGGTGTAGAAAACGTCAATGTAANGATTTGATTTTGAATATGAATACAAATATGTTTATTGATTACCATTTTTTATTACTCTGTGTTTTCAGACACAGACAATAATTAGTATATATATATATATATATGTTTTAAGTTTTGACATCTTTTCCACACTGTATTACAGGTTTAGGACAACTATCAACTCCATATGCTCTAGAAAAAGGAGGGTGGGCTTCCTCTTTCCTCCTCATAGGGATTGGAGTGATTTGTGCTTATGCTTCACATCTTCTTGGAAAATGCCTAGACAAGAACCCCAAGTCAAGAAACTACAGAGACATTGGACAGCACGCGTTCGGAAAGAAAGGAAGAATCCTAGCTGCGACATTCATATATCTTGAAATCTTCATGGCCCTTGTTTCCTACACGATCTCTCTGCATGACAACTTATCCACAGTGTTTTCGGCGGCTCGGGTTTCTTTGAATTGGACTCATTTCTTATCTTCATCTCAGCTTCTAACTGTGATGGCCGTCTTGGTTGCACTTCCTAGTCTGTGGCTGAGAGATCTTTCTTCAATTTCTTTCCTTTCAACTGGTGGAATTATCATGTCACTTGTGATTTTTATAACAGTGGCATGTACAGCCATTTTCGGAGGCTTAAGAACTAATCAGAGGATTCCAGTCCTTAACATAAGTAAAATTCCTGCTGTTTCTGGGCTTTTTCTCTTCGGCTATGCTGGGCATATTGTGTTTCCTGAGATACATAAATCCATGCAAGATCCTTCCAAGTTCACAAAGGTGAGAAATTCCTGTCAATTTGCAATATTTGTTTTCGCTATTTCGGTTTTAATTAATGCACTCAAGTGTCTGGGTGTATATATATATATATGATAAATCATCATATCATCTAAAAATTTAGGTTGTTAAAGAGGTTAAATCATACCGTTCCTCTCAATTATCATCTAAAAGTTTGAATTGATAGAGAGCTGTAATATAAATAAACTACTGTATCATCTAAAAGTTTGAACGGTTAGAGAGACGTAGAGGCGTAACATATATAATTGTATACTATCCACTTATATTCCTGGATTGAGAGATTCAGATTCTGATGCTAACCTCTTCCACAAGTTTAGCATCTCTCCTCTTTTTGGCTCACCTACCAGTATTGACGAATATATTCACTTGTTTCCTATCTATGATTGCTGTGAGTTTTGATACAGTTTATTAACGGGATTTTAAGTACTTTTTTTTTTTTGCCTTTTTTTTCTTTTTTGGGTATCTTTTGAATTATTTTTTTTCTTATCACGTATTTGGTTTTGTGACAAATTTTTTTTTTTTTTGTTACAAAAGGAACGTAAAAAAACATTACCAAATTGTGCATTAGTTAGTATTTATATGAACCAAACGTCTTGAGTCTAAAATTTAACGACTCCTTGGGACCAATTTCCTAGTGTTAGCACACAGTTTGGTTAGTAGGGGCCTCCATTGATTGGACAAACTGTATTCAGGTTTTGGGTGTGAGTTGTATTCCCTGCCAGATATGCGAGTCGTAATTGACCGTTGTTTGTGTTTAGAGATCAGTGCGTGCGACACTCTCCAAGTAAAAATTATCTCTCCGAACAAAGCACATCCTATTTCTATATGACCCAACGTAATTGTTTGATATATATGAAAATTTTCATCTATAATGCTCACAAAATGTAGAACTAAACTATCTTTTTATCTTTTTCAGGTATCTATTGTTAGCTTCTCTCTAGTCACAATGCTCTACACAGCTCTAGCATTCATGGGTGCCAAAATGTTTGGACCAGAAGTAAATTCCCAAATAACCCTCAGCATGCCTCCAAATCTAATTTTTTCCAAAATTGCATTATGGGCCACAGTACTTACACCAATGACAAAATATGCCCTGGAGTTTGCACCATTTGCAATGCTGCTTGAGCACAGCCTTCCTCCTTCAATGAAACCCAGTACCAAGATGATCATAAGAGGTTCTGTGGGTTCATTTCTTCTCCTTGCAATACTAGCCCTAGCTCTTTCTGTGCCCTACTTTGAGTATGTTCTCAGCCTCACTGGCTCACTTGTGAGTGTGGGAATTGGCATTATTTTCCCTTGTGCTTTCTACACCAAGATTTTTTGGACTCAGCTATCAAAACCCCTTGTAGTTCTCAACCTTTTCCTCGTTGCGTTCGGGTTGGTTCTCGGGATAAGTGGAACCATTTCGTCTTTCAAGTTGCTTGTGCATAGAGCTCATTCAACTTGAACAGATATCTGATCAGCAGTATATGCTAGCCAGATTTTTAGAGCTTGGTTTGCCTAACATGAAGGACTTGTTCACTAGCCACTACTAATAATCAAAAAAGTTCATAGTGAGTTCGGTCTATAAAAGTGTTAGGTGTATTTCAGAACTATTTTGGATGTACCATCAATCTTACACTAATGAAAGAGTTGTAGTTGTCTTGTATAATTTCGATCTTTTGGTATACGAATAAATGAAGGTACTTGCTTTATATTATGCACCCTCTAATATAAAAAATATCCTACAAATGTACAATTGCTGATCATTTCAAATATTCAAAGGCTTCTTTGCTGGCCCTTCTTTCTTCATTTTTTTTTTATTTCGTTTCATTTTATAAACCGATGCCTTCATTGATATTTTCTGTATCAAGGAAAAATATAAGTTGAAAAAAATAACAAATTGAAAGAACAAGAGAAAAGATCTTCATGGCAATGTAATTGAACATTAATTGTCAAGAGTTTAGTTGTTGAGCCCTGACACCAAAATTGGAAGGGGAGTAATGTTGTTATTGGGCCTAAAAAATCGATATAATTTAATAAAATAATAATATGACAATGACATAATCTAAGAGTAATACTATTGAGACTAATCTAATTTATTAATATAACAATGTGGCAGTGACATGACACATTATTAGGTTACTAAATTAGATCAATTTTTTAAGTTTCAATAACATTATTTATAGTCCCAATAACATTACTCGAGATAATATCATGTAATCTCATCTTTGGAATAGCAATAGATCTCACGACTGAACGACGCCCACTACCTATCCAATTTTATCAATGCATTGAATTGCTAAATTAAGTCTTTACATAAGATATACAAGCACTATTATTCATCAAGGCAATTTTTGATAAACTTATGAAATGAAAAAGAATAAGAAATAAAAAATCAATTTTTTTATATCGGATGTCCCCAACACCAACTCCCTCGGAGGTTCTAAGAAGAAAAATATTATTTGTATCTAATTTATAAACCTAACTCATTATAATTATTGGATAAAAAATGGGTCGCATCCAATATTGAGATTTAGTACAATCTAATAGCTACAACAAATTAGATCCAATTCACCTCAATCGACTTCACATCTAGGTAGATGTGACATTCTTAATCTATTACTCATTAATTTATCCAATTCGTCCATAAATAAATGAGTTAGATATCGATATTAATTAATGCAAGTTCTAAATGGATTGCGTAATATGATTTATTTTAATTAATTGTGTTAATATGGATTATAAATAGGTTACCTATTGAGTTGAGTATTTATCTTTCTATTAAATAAAACAAGTAACAAAATTAAATAAATATACTAATATTTCAAAAAATGCACACATATACGTTAATACACCAAAACACACTCAAAATAATACACCACCCATGGGTCGACTCATGACCCATGGCACGCTTCCCCTTTCCTTTACCTTCCCGATCATCGTGCTGCTCATATCGGATGTGTATTTCTTCTTTCCTCGCATCTTCTCTTCTTCCTCACTAGCATCTATGGCACGCTTCCCCTTTCCTCCTCCCTTCCTCCCCTCCCAATCACAATTTGCCTCTTCCTCGTCTCCCTATGAAGCAAGGGGTCACGTAGGTGGCCAGGACTAGCCTATATCAGCTCATAGTCGACCAAAGTGAGGTAATTTCTTACTAAATTTAGCCTGCAATTCCTATATTCAACCTAAAATTTATAGTTTTGGGGTTTTTTGTTGCCTTGTCAAATATGAGCATGTCTGTTGAAAACAATTTGCTTCAATTTTTCAAATATGTTTTTTCTTTTCTAATTCGAAATATGGAATTAGCTCTTCATGCAAATGTAACCACTCCAACCTGTAATTGGCAAATCATGATTCATAAGTAACCCAATTTCTAAGACCTGGTGAAACAGTTAACAAAGCAGACCAGGTGTTTGTCAAAATGCATGAGAAAAATAAAAGAGAAATTTGCCTTCATTTGGCTTTATGGTTGGTTATTGAGGTGGCCTCATAGTTGTTCTGATGTTGTTTGGAGTGGTGGGGATTTTTAGAGTGGCAAGGTGGTTTTGAGGTTTGGGATTCGAGTAGTGGGGGAGGTAGTTTTCAAGTGGTGATCTGCTGACTGCTGGTGAAGATTTAAATTAAGAAGGTTGAATTTCTTAAATGTGCTGCTCAAGGAAAAGCTGACTAAAGATTAAGTTGGTTTTCAGTAGAGTTTATGAATTAAATCCTTACTTTTTGAAGGATACAAGATGCACAATTTTAAACGTATGTTGGTATGTAGCATGAGCAGGTCAAAGGAGCAAAACAGAACTAGATAATAGACTCTAACTGAAACTTACTAGCATAGGAAACTCCTAAAAGCAGCAACTAAGGTGGAGGGGTTGAGAGTTTTTTCAAGTTGGTGAAAGCATAAGATGACATTAAAAAAAGAAAAGAAAAGAAACAATTGGTATTTGAATGCCTTGGAACAATTTTTGTATAAAACACTTAGTATAGACTTCTTGCTGGTATCAGTGCTAACTAAATGGAGTCTATTACCAATCTACCCCAATTATAAAACTTATTTACCAATCTACTGCCGTTTTCAACTTAGTTACCAAATTACTGTTATTTTAAAAGCGGATTTGACAAATCCGACTTCATGGATAAAACGGATTTGGCAAATTCGACTTCATTTGGAAAACGGATTTGGTAAATCTGACTTTATAGGGAAAACGAACATACCAAATCCGCCTTTATAATTGTGTTGATCGCCAAAAGAGTATTTGGCTATTTATTGAATACGTTTGGCCTCTATGATTCTAAATTCTTTGTGAATCAATTACTCACCTTTATTAGTCGTTAAAAATTCGCTAATAGATTCTATCTAAATTCATTAGTTATAACCCGTGCCTGAAGGCATGATAAAAAATAAAATTCGAGTATCCAAAAAATCGATCTCACTATATTAAATTTTTTTAAAATATATTAATTATAAATTAATTAAATATTAAATAATTAAATATATGATAAAAATAAGTGATTTATCTTTTAGGGAGAAAATATATAAAGTCAAGAATTTCGGATGGTATCCTCCCAGTAAGAAAATTAGATGAAATATTAAAAGTTACTGGCTAAGACAAATTTTCCAACTCATTTGGCAACTCAGACATGAAATAATTTTCCGAGAGATCAAGCCTTTGTAACTTTTGGCAGTTTCCAATCTCAGGAGAAATAGTACCACTGAACTTGTTCTGGTCCAATTCAACTGCAGAGAGGTTCATCAAATTGTACAAATCACCAGGAAAATCCCCTATAAGTCTGTTTTCATTCAGACGAAATTGCACCAATGGTTTGCGGCCAGTGAGATTATTAAGGCGGATTTGGCAAGTCTGTTTTTCATATAAAGACGGATTTGGCATGTTCACTTTCTNTGTCAGAAACTTAATCTGGGCCTAATCCTGAAAATTCTCAAATCCGTCGACGAAGCTGTTGGTGGCGTCCTCTTTCCTGAGGAAGTGACTCAAAAGGGGAAGATGGAGGCCCTGCTAAGGATGTGTCTGGTGAGTGTTGGAATTACTCCAATATTACTACAAGGAAAAAATCACTCTAATACTACTTTGTTGGAGCAAAGAGGACAAGAAATAAATGAAAAGGAAGTAGAGGAAGATATGAATACTTAATGAAAAAATAATTTTCATAAAAGTTAATTACCATCACACATTCGACTTGGACTCTTCAATTTCTACTCCACTCTACTTACTTGAAACTCTAAGTCATGTACCCTATTTATATAGGACATACATATAATCCTCAATATTATATTAAGGTACCATTACACCCACTAACTCTAATAACCTTTATGATAGGAAGACACCAATACTTGGAAATTAATACCCACTAGTACTCTTGTCTTCCATTACTTGCATATTCCTTACCCACAAACACACACTAAATTAATACACCTTAATCTATATCTATATCTATCTATACTACTAATAAAAGTATCTTAACATGAAAAATTTTTGAATCTCTATTTTACCCTTATAAAGAATTGTAAAGACCACTCTATCATTTGACAATTAAATATCTAAATTGTCATCATATCCTTATATATTTAANTGGGTAAGGGAATTAAAACCAAACTGCATATCGAGCCATGAATCAAGGTTTTGAAGAACGACTTTTGCATTTTTCATGACCAAAAGTGTGGTCGACGGTGATGGCAGTGGGTTTGAAGATNCTAAATTGTCTATAACATCTCTTTTAATTATCTATTCTCTATGTATAAATATCAGTTTCTATAAAAAAATTGATTGACTATATTACCCTTCAAAAAATATGCATCATTGTATTTTTAATATAGTGTTCAAAAAATCTTCAAAAATTTCATCAATCTAATATTACTCATCTCATATTCAAAGATAACATTATACTTACGTATATATTTTTTTCTTTTTTATCGAAAAGTTTAAACCTTTCATTTCCAAGATTAAAAATTATCATATATATAGTTTTTTTAAATCAGTTTATGTTACATCAATATAATTATTCAGTCGCAATATACTTTTTAAGTTGTATTAAGATTTTATGTGAAAATAGATATTGTAGTGTATTTTTAAGTAAAAATTGAATTTTTTAGAATTTTAATATTGTAAAACTTGAATTTTTTAGATTTTTTAGAGCAGTATAAATTTTTTTATCTCAATTCACCTAACCAATTCCTAATTATGGTAACGTTCTAATATAATTAGTATATTAACAATTGGTTTTATTTTATTCAAGAAATTATAAGTGGAATTTTAATAAAATTAATTTCTCAAACATCACTAAAAAATCAATCTCAATTATAAAATTCTAAAAAAAAATAGAATTTTAACTTTTTTTTTAAAATCTATTTTTTTTTAGTTAGAATAAAGAATTTTGGGAACATAGAAAGTTTTAATAATCTTATAATAAAATATGAGCAATGAAAATTTAAGTTTTATAAATTTGAGGTGATATTTAATTCAGATACACATATACCTAATATGTTTTATTAATTTTTGTATACAAAAATTATTCACGTGCATTGCATTGCTAGTAATATAATAAAACTCTAAAACAAGTTTATTTTTCAACATGCAAAACCTTTCAGAGTTCGATGACTGAAGGTAACGATGTCAATTCTAATCCATAAACTGCCAAACCCACCCAACACATCCGCAAATTGGCGGGTTAGGTATATTTTTATGAGTTGTATAC